ATCAAAAGCTTTCTTCAGTCTTCTCTGATACAACTGACCACGACACAAGGCTGTCATTATCTTTTCTTCAATTAAATTCAACTGGTCAAACCTATTCTGGACCCATTCAGCCTCTGACAACTCGGTTTCTATTATTACGCGCAAATAAGGAATCTCAACCTCAACGGGGAGCATTGCTTTCATGCCATACACAAGAGAGAATAGGTTTGCCCCTTGTTGAAGTGCGAAAATATGTATGATACCCATACAAGGCAAAAGGGAGAATCTCATGCCAATCCTTATAGGTAACAACCATCTTCTGGGTGATCTTATTAATGTTTTTATTAGCAGCTTTAACATCCCCATTCATCCTAGGCCTATAAGGAGACGAGTTGTGATGGAAAATCTTTAATTCTTCACAATGTTCTTTCATCATCTTATTATTAAAATTTGAGCCATTATCATTGATAATCCTACTTGGCACACCATACCGACATATAAGATTGTTCTTGATAAAGCGTACTACCACCTGCTTGGTGACATTAGCATAAAAAGCTACTTCCACCTGCTTGGTAAATTAGTCAATTTCCACTAAGATGAAACGAAGTCAATTCGACGCCTTGGGTTCAATCATTCCAATCATATCAATACCCCACATAGAAAAAGGCCATGGGGAATAAATAACATTGAAAAGCGTTGAAGGCACATGAATCTTTTCAGCATAAATCTTACACTTATGACACTTCTTCGTAAATTTGTAACAGTCAGATTCCATTGTCAACCAATAATAACATGCCCTAAGCATCTTCTTTGCCATTTAATGTTCATTGGCATGAGTGCCAAAGGAACCTTCATGGATCTCATGCATCAACATGTCTGCTTCGTGCCTATCCACACATCTGAGCAAGACCATGTCATAATTTCTTTTGTATAACACATCTTCATTGAGGAAAAAGCTAATTGCCAACCTTCTCAATGTCTTTCTATCTTTGTTGAACGCACCAAGCGGGTATTCATGAGTCTGGAGAAAGTGCTTGATATCATAATACCAAGGTTTTTCATCTGACGTCCCCTCTGTAGCAAACACATGAGCTGGTCTATCAAGAAGTCGAATTGTAATATGAGGCATATCGTTCCAAGCATTCACTTGATACATGGAAGCCAAAGTGGCCAAAGCATATTCCATCTGATTATCATCTCTGGGAATATGATGGAATTCAACCTTATTGAATAAAGGTAATAATATTGCATAATCCTTGTAGGGAATCAAGCCAATGTGATCAGTCTCCCATTCTCATTTGATCTGATTTATTACCAAAGCTGAATAACCATATACATCAAGAATTTTGATTCTGAGATCTATAGCCTCTTTAACACTAATGATATAGGCTTCATACTCCGCCATGTTATTGGTACAATCAAATGTCAACCTTGTAGTAAAAGGGATATGTGACCCATGGGGAGTGATAATCACAACACCAATTCCCTTTCCATAAGCATTTACAGCTCCATCAAACACCATATCCCATCGGGATTCGAGATTTGGACCTTCCTCAGGCAAAGGTTCGTCACAATCTTTTACTTTAAATACATCACATCCTCATCAGGGAAATCAAACTTAACAAACTGATAATCTTCAACTGGTTGGTGAGCTAGGTATTCTGCCAACACACTACCTTTAATAGCCTTTTGAGTATGGTATTCAATATCATATTTAGACAACATCATCTACAACCAGGAAATTCTTCCAGTAAGAGAAGGCTTTTCAAAAATATACTTAATTGGATCCATTTTGGAAATCAACCAAGTAGTGTGATTAAACATATAATACCGCAATCGCTTTGCCGCCCAGGCCAAAACACAACATGTTTTTTTAGCATAAAATACTGTGACTCACAGTTAGTGAACTTCTTACTCAAATAATAAATGGCATATTCTTTTCTTCCTGTTTCATCTTGTTGTCCCAAAATACAACCCATGGAGTTATCCAACACAGTCAGATACATAATCAATGGTCTTCCTTCAACATAAGGGAGCAAGGTAGGAGGCTCAAGCAGATACTCTTTAATGCTATCAAATTCACCTTAGCAATTAAACGTCCAAGGAAACCTCTAACTTGATTTTCAGTTCTTGGTGCAGGCATTTCTTGAATTTCCTTAACTTTATCAGGATCAACTTCAATTCCTTTTTTACTTACAATGAAACCTAGCAACTTTCCTGAACGTACACCAAAAGTACACTTTTTTGGATTCAAGAGGAGACAATACTTCCTCAAATGCTTAAATAATTTCAACAAGTATTCTATGTGCCCTTCCTCAGTCTGAGATTTGGAGATCATATCATCAAGATATACTTCAATTTCCTTATGCATCAAATCATGGAATAGGATTGTCATAGCCCTATGGTACGTCACACCAGCACTCTTCAACCCGAAGGGCATCACTCTGTAATAGTATGTTCCCCAGGGTGTGATAAATTTTTTTTCCATGTCCTCAAGAGCCATCCTAATTTGATTGTAATTGAAAAATCCTTCCATGAAGGAGAACAATTTGATTTTTGTTGTACTATTAACCAACATATCAATATGGGACAATGGGAAATCATCTTTCAGACTTGCTTTATTTAAATCTCTATAATCAACGCACATGCTGACTTTTCCGTATTTCTTTGGTACTGGGATAATATTGGCAATCTACTGAGGGTACACTGATGTCACAAGAAAACCACCATCAATCTGCTTCAAAACCTCTTCTTTAATATTTACTACCATGTCAGGATGATTTCTTCGCAGCTTCCGCTTAATTGGTGGACATTCTAGCTTTATCGGTAAATAATGTTCCACAATATCGATGCCCAAACTAGGCATGTCTTGGTAAGACCAACCAAAGATACCTACATACTCTTTTAGCAATTTAATTAATCTGCTCTCCACATCAGGATGAAGCAGTGCCTGTTATACTCCAATTTTCCCCCTAACACGCTCATTCATAACATCATATGTACTAACATCATAAACCATTCATTCATTTGAGCTTCTATATATATGGGATTGAAGGGTTCTTGGCATCACATTTTTCTCTTATGGATTGGGGTTACTACCTCTATAAAGGTGATTCAACTGGTTCTATCATCATTCTTGGTATGAAGTTAGGATCTTGGACCACAAGCATTGTGGACGTCTTCCTTGAAAAGATTCCTCAAGAGACAAGGTTTCTTCATCAGAATTTTCTTCAAGGAACATGTGTTTTAAGATTTAACTTGTGTACTTAAGACTTTATTGTATATTCACTAAGAATGTACTTGAGCTAGAGTTTTACTTCTCTCCACATCTCAAGCCTTCTCCACAAATATGCACTCAAGATCTAGAAAGTTAGGGGGTTTCTCCTATAAAGGTGCTTGGACATTATTGTTGGTTATTCAAAATGCTTCATTGAGATCAGTTTCTCCTCAGGGCCACCAAGAATCATCGTCATTTCTTTACTGCAATTCATTAATCATGTAGAGTTTCCCTTAATTACTTGCTCTATGAGTCATTTCTTTTCAAGAAGTCTAGAAGATTAAATCATGGTTCTCTTCTTGTGGTGAGACTTGCTAAGTAATTAAGTGTGGCTTTGGTTTTTCAGCAAGATATTTTGTTGATTAACGAGCGAGTATACAACACGATAGGAGTTTGAGGATTCTTTATGACCAAGACCTTGTTATCTTTTCAATTTCTTGATTGTTTGCAAGACAACTTGGATTTGAAGATTAATGTAGAGAAATGGATTCATTATTGTCAAGCATTTCCTTTAGGATCGATTCAAGAGAATTCATTATTATGGTTTGTGTTGAATTCAAGGTCGTTATTTCAAATGCATTTCAATTTTCTTAATAATTGATTCAAAAAGTTTAGGATCACTCATGGGATTTTTTTGGAACTTAAAACACATCAATCATGTACAAGAATTTCAAAGTCTAAATGATTCAAGCATTCATGTTTATTATAATTTAAGGGCTTATCCAAAGTTTAAAATTCTATCAAAGGTATTCAAGGGGTATTCATGCTTCAAGAGAAAATTCAAGATTGTCAAGAATCCGAATTCCTAATTTCAAATTCACTTTACAAGTCAACATTCGAGCAAGAGTTTTAATATCCATATCATGTTCACCAAGAATCACGCAAGTTCAATTTCAAGTTTACAATTATAAGTGTATAACAAATGTCCAATTGTCCAAGTTCAAGTACAAATGTTAAGGTTCCAAAACTCCATACATTCCCTTTAGTTCAAAACATTTTGTCTTTTATTTTGCTAAACCTTTAAACATATCCTAGTTATACATTCACAATCATTTCCAACTTGATCCAAAAACAATGCTAAACATGTCCACACATGAGCTTGAGAACCTATACACAAGGTTTGATTTAAATTGATGCCATTGCCTTGTTCTAAGTTGCCACAATTATGTCCAAACTTAAACCAGAAAATTAGTTCAGGCGCGAACAAAAAATAGGTCACCACTTCGTGCCTTGTACCCGTCAAAATCAGCAGTTCATATATCCGAAGCTTTGCCTTAATTTAGAACCAAGCCCTGAACTGCAACCAAACACGCGTCTGCATTAACATATGCAAAACAGTTTGCAAAATCATTTCAAAGGAGAAGAAATAAAAATAAAAATCTGAAAATGAGAAATCCAGAATTGATGATAGTCCAGAAATAGAGAAAAATAATAATAAGAAAAATCAATAACAGAATTTAACAACACATCTTAACTACCTTAAACCATCTCAACTAACTTTCAGCTAATTGCTAATAGAAATCTCACTGGTAATTATTAACAGAACTAACAAAAGTTAACAACTCTAATTGACAAATCTACACCAATGATCTCTTAACTGATTCTCATGATCTAGTGGCCCAAATGGATTGATTCATAACTGAATGCACAGAGCCAAGTCCTATATAACAAAAATTCAGAGATTCACAAGGGGAATTCATTTTCTCACGATTAAAAAAAATAGATAACACTCACCTTTCAACTCTCTCTCTCTCTGCAATTTCTCACCATCCTTCATCATATTCAAGCTTTAAGAATTCTAAATCTTCATCTTCCTATTTCCTCAAGCTCCAACAATTTTCGTTCTTCATCACGCATCACTACATCTTCAACCTTCATCACCATTCCCTTCAATCTTCTCAGTAACCACTCTTTGAATATCCCTGAGATCTTGCAACCTTCAACAATCATCATCATCATCAGTCCTCATTGCATCTTCAACAAATTGCAGAAACGCAACGCATCATTGTATCACAATGCGAATCAAGCGCAATACACACAAAAGCAGAAAGTAGAAGAGAAGAAGAGGAAGAATCGAGAGCGAATCATATACCTGAGCTGCTGTTCTCTGGATCACTCATTGTATTCGTCAAGCATGAATACGCGTTGGACGAGCTCCGACTGGTAAGTCGCATTTCCTCATTTCTTTTCTTGTTTTGGTTTAAGGATTGAAAATGTTTGGATTGGAACAATAGTGGTGGTAGGTTGAAATCATCACTGTTAAAAAGAAATAGCCACCACGGGTTGCGTCTTTGAGAGAAACGAAGAGAAGGGTTGAAAACAAGCGAAGGTGATAATCTTTTAAGCAAATCAGAGATGTTGACGGAGGAGCTTCAAATCAGTATTAAGACGGAGGCGATGATTTAGAAGAGGTGAACGAAAGTTTGATTCGCCGAGGAGAACAAAGATTGATACGGATGTAAGTCGCGGTGGAGTGAGGTGAGAATGCGTTGGATGAGATCGTCGCCGTGATTTGTTTTGATGAAGAAGATGAACGCGTCATCGTGTTTTGCAAGAAGCTGAACAACCACAATTTCCTTAACCATATCCAAGGCCAAAACTCCATCGTTTCACATGGAGTTTATCTTGTTATTTTTTATTAATTCTTTTCTCCTTTATTAAAAGAATTAATAAGAAAATGCTGAAACAAAAGTGAAGTGGACTTGACAAAGTAGATCTCCCTCTTGAGTCCGTTTCTATTTTTGATATTTGGAGCTTGATATTGCCATTCAAAAAGCTTATTAGATTTCGGTTTGGATGGGCCTAGCGCCCTTGTAATTGAGTCCAACACTCTGTGCCAATTCAACACCATTTTGGACTTTCAGCATGAGCCTGGGCGCCATATTTGCTAGAACAAACTCCCTGATTCCAATTTTCACCCCCTCACTATTTCAAATTGTTTTAGCTTTTTCTTTTAGTAAATTTTCTTTTAAAAACTTTCCTTAATAAAGATTAATGATAGTGAAACAATAAAAAAATAGGTAGAGTTTAGGATTTTCTAATCTTTTTTATCTTTCTATGATAAAAATCAATAAAAATTTGTTAGAATTTTTTTATTTGATTTTAGAAATTAATTCATGATTGAAATTCTGGCTGCAGATACTCAATGTCACGTTCAATGTTGTGACACCGTATCTGACTTTCTATGAGACAGTAAATACAAAAAACAGTAAAGAACACAGTCAATTGTTTACCCAGTTCAGTGTGCAACAACACATACTCTGGGGGCTACCAAGCCAGGGAGGAAATCCACTATAAGAGATGTTAATTCAGGAATAAACCAACCAGTTTATCTCCTTCACTTAAGACCTACCCAATGCAACTTCAATCTAAGTACAACTTAAATCTGAGTTCCTACTCACTCCCCCTCAATCACAGCAGTGATACATAAAACAATTTGACTAATGAATTGATGAAGACACTCTTCAAAAACATACACTTGATTAAGCTTCACAGCTTTTTAATCAAGCAACACAACCACTCTTGCTTCACAGCTTTGAGTGATACACACACCTAACTTGACTCTGCTTCACAGCTTTAGTCAAGAGACATACAAACACTCTTGCTTCAAAGCTTTGAGTGCTACACAACCCTTACAATTAAAAACCTATTCCAAGTCACTTATCACAATGATAATTGCTTGGATTACAATAGTTAAAACTATACAGCTTACAAAAGATCTTCTGTCCAAAAAGGGATTGCTTTCAAAACAGCAGCTCTGTTGAATATATAGCAGCTGCATCTTCAGTTAGGGTTTCCACAAAAAGCTAGGGTTAATTCCATTTGACCTTAAGACTAGGTCACAGGACTTTATCAACCAGGTTAGGGTTGAGCTAGGTTAACCCAAAGAAAACGCATGATTCTGTTCTGGAAAGACTGAGTCATTTTCCTGAAAAAACTCAGAATTAACCAAACTGCAAACCTGTTAGTTCAGAACAGGATGTCTTAACATCTGTTATGACATCTGAAAAACCTGTCTGCTGATTTAGGAAAATGTGATCATTTTGCAAAATGCTCAGATACACACTTATAAACATCAGTACCTGTATGACAATATTTTTCTGCAAAGGTACCTAATGAATCAGTACAAACTAAACTAGAATGTTATGACATCAGTCATGACATTCACACATACACTTGGGATTTACCAAAAATGCAAGCCAATAACTAAACAGCTACAAACTCCCCCTTTGGCAGATTTTTGGCTAAAGACCCTAAGCAATCAGAGATAGATAGCAGCAGAAAAATAGAATGTCTAATGAAGTACCAATCTCTCCCTCTTTAGCCACAAATGGGCCAAAGATACATGTTCATAAAAATTATACAGTCATCCAGAAAAAAGTAATAAGAGCAGCAGCTAAAAACTGAACACACTTCCAAACTCCACCAGGGACCAGCATCAACTCCACCAAACAACAACCAACCTTTAAGCATTGTCATCAGACTCAGAGGATCTAGTTTCTTCAGTATTGAGATGACCTTCAGCTTCTACACCCTCTTCCCTTCTGTTTCCTTCAGCTTCCTCCTTTTCTAACTTGGCAATTAGGATTTCTAGGGTCTTTTTCCTAGCTTCCAGTTCTTTGCAGGTCTCTTTTAATACAGCTATGACATCAGATGTCTTGGACCGGGTCTTCACAGACGATGTCTCAGCTGATGTTATGACAATATCAGGAGCATGAGATCCCTGAAATAGTTTGTAGTGCAACCCAAGGGCAGGAGCTCTTTTGCAAGCAGTATCTCTTGCCACCAGGATATCAGGGTATTGTGCAAGGATAATTCCACAAAGGAGGGAGGGAAAGGCAATTGGTCCTTTGACAGAATTTGACAACACATCTTAACTACCTTAAACCATCTCAACTAACTTTCAGCTAATTGCTAATAGAAATCTCACTGGTAATTATTAACAGAACTAACAAAAGTTAACAACTCTAATTGACAAATCTACACCAATGATCTCTTAACTGATTCTCATGATCTAGTGGCCCAAATGGATTGATTCATAACTGAATGCACAGAGCCAAGTCCTATATAACAAAAATTCAGAGATTCACAAGGGGGATTCATTTTCTCACGATTAAAAAAAATAGATAACACTCACCTTTCAACTCTCTCTCTGCAATTTCTCACCATCCTTCATCATATTCAAGCTTTAAGAATTCTAAATCTTCATCTTCCTATTTCCTCAAGCTCCAACAATTTTCGTTCTTCATCACGCGTCACTACACCTTCAACCTTCATCACCATTCCCTTCAATCTTCTCAGTAACCACTCTTTGAATATCCCTGAGATCTTGCAACCTTCAACAATCATCATCATCAATCCTCATTGCATCTTCAACAAATTGCAGAAACGCAATGCATCATTGTATCACAATGTGAATCAAGCGCAATACACACAAAAGCAGAAAGTAGAAGAGAAGAAGAGGAAGAATCGAGAGCGAATCATATACCTGAGCTGCTGTTCTCTGGATCTCTCATCGTATTCGTCAAGCATGAATACGCGTTCGACGAGCTCCGACTGGTAAGTCGCATTTCCTCATTTCTTTTCTTGTTTTGGTTTAAGGATTGAAAATGTTTGGATTGGAACAATTGTGGTGGTAGGTTGAAATCACCACTGTTAAAAAGAAATAGCCACCACGGGTTGCGTCTTTGAAAGAAACGAAGAGAAGGGTTGAAAACAAGCGAAGGTGATAATCTTTTAAGAAAATCAGAGATGTTGACGGAGGAGCTTCAAATCAGTATTAAGACGGAGGCGATGATTTAGAAGAGGTGAACGAAAGTTTGATTCGCCGAGGAGAACAAAGATTGATACGGATGTAAGTCGCGGTGGAGTGAGGTGAGAATGCGTTGGATGAGATCGTCACCGTAATTTGTTTTGATGGAGAAGATGAATGTGTCATCGTGTTTTGTAAGAAGCTTGATATTGCCATACAAAAAGCTTATTAGATTCTGGTTTGGATGGGCCTAGCGCCCTTGTAATTGAGTCCAACACTCTGTGCCAATTCACCACCATTTTGGACTTTCAGCATGAGCCTGGGCGCCATATTTGCTAGAATAAACTCCCTGGTTCCAATTTTAACCCCGTCACTATTTCAAATTGTTTTAGCTTTTTATTTTAGTAAATTTTCTTTTAAAAACTTTCTTTAATAAAGATTAATGATAGTGAAACAATAAAAAAATTAGGTAGAGTTTAGGATTTTCTAATCTTTTTTATCTTTCCATAATGAAAATGATAAAAATCAATAAAAATTTGTTAGAATTTTTTTATTTGATTTTAGAAATTAATTCATGATTATTTCATTACTTGAGATTTTTTATTCACTTTTTGCTTGTCGAGATTTGAGTCTCATGCAGATTCATTGTTTGATATGCGGATATGCTTGAATTTCCGATTGTGATTTATTTTTACATCGATGATGCTTCAACGCTTATTCTGAGCATTTGATTTCTGACTCTTTTCTCTGTTTGCTTGGTGAAGTTTGCATAAAGTATTCCGGGCTTCTTTGATTTGGTTGCGTTTTTTACAGACATTATTGTTCGTTTGGTATTATACCTCTTCCAGTTTATCTTTCCGCATTTTATTGCTTTCTAGATATCATAAGAAGTAGGATAATAAAGAGCGTGCACTCGAAGTCACTGTTTAAAGACCTGTAGCAGGTATTTCGCACTTGTTTTCTAATTGTGTTTGTGTTTGTTTTCATGGGTTGACGATCATTGATGTCACTTAATTAGAATTGAGATAACGACTTCGATATTTGCATGCTCCCCTTAGGATTTTCATTTTCCTTGGTTAACGATCGATGATTCCACTCAATTAGAATTGAGATAACGACTTCGATCTTTGCATTCTCCCCTTAGGACTTTCAATTTTCTTTGTTGATGATCGATGATTGTTGTACCCCAATTTTTGCCCCTAAGATCCCTTCATCATACCATGTTAATTCGATCACAACAAGATCACATTAGGGCTCTTGGTTCTCCTCCCTATCTTTAGCTTTGCTCTTTGAGAGATCACCAAGCACCTTAACTTGTTTTTCTTTTGTGATTATGCATGTTTTTTTTTGACTTTCTTTCTAATTAACAAAATACAATTTTGGTTTGTCTTACTTGTTAATAATGTGGATAAAGGCAATGTGGCTTAGCAAGTTGATCCATAGGTTCATGAGTTTATTTTCATGCCCTAGTCATTAAATCTTGAGAAATTCAAACCTCACCATTGAAGTTATTTTGGAAGAAATGACATGGAAAGGTTCATTTTGTTTCACCACATTTCAAAGTTATCAAGATTGATTCAAAAGTACAAGGGGTTGATTGAAGAAGTTGTCATTGTTGGACAAGGCCTTTTTCCCATTGGTCACAAGTGAACATTTCTCCCAATTCTCAAGATATGGAAGTGGTTTTGGTTGCTATGAGTTCTAATTATCATACTCAACAACTTCTATCTACAAAGCAAAAGTGTTGGTACAAGAAGTTTGTTCAAAATTGTCAAAGTTCCTCAAAGCATTTTCTTGATCTAGGAGTTAGGATTTTGAACTTCAAAGAAGTATATCTTTCTCATCTTTTGGTA